CCAGTTCACAATAGGACCGATCTCTGTGAATGATCAACTCCAGGAAATGTTTCAGCCTATTGGCAAATACTTTGAAAGTAGTTTGTAATCTGTACATAGCAGAGCCACTGGTCTCAGATCTTAAGCAGGGTCAGTCTCCTTTTTTAGGTGGAAGAAATACCGCTGCACCTCCTAAAGGTCAGCTCCCAAACACTTCCAGACATGTTTACAAAAGTCTGCAGGGAGCCCATTCAATCCAGCAACCTTGCTGACCATCAGCAGCAGCAGGAAGCTCCTGCATAGTCTACTGTTGACAAAAAGTACATATCCCTTTCACACTTCCCCCACACTGGCACTAACCCACACGCCTTCTTCACCATTGACCTTTCCTGTCACTATTTCTGTGGTAGAAATAATGTCAACATTAAGCTCTGGAGGAAACAAAATCTCGCTGGTTTAAACAGCAGAAAAATCAGTCAGATGTGACAAAAAAATCAGCTCTTCCACCAAACCACAAAGAAAGTAAAGAAGAAAGATCACCAAGTGCAGCATGCACTAGTGCACGAGTGTAATTATAATGTTATTATGCAGTCTTTAATTTCTTTAACCGTTTCCTTGTTTAACTATAAGTGTCTGAGACTTGTTGTGTGTTTTTTCAGCCAGATCCATATCCACAGAACTCTGCATGTCATGTTATACATGAAGTCAGCATACTTTTGACTTGTTTTGCTAAAACTGAAAAATACTCACTCACTTTACAGATTTTCCAAATCTTTCATTAAGAAAGTTACTAATTTCTTCCAATCTGTAAAATTCCCCATTGCATGACTATATATCTGAGACAGAAACATATTTAGGGTCATTATCATAGTACATGTCTTCTCCTGCAACAGCACCTGGCTCCCTTCCTCCTCACTTTTTAGATATTTAGATAGATAATTAAACAATCTGGAGAATGGTCTCTAAAGACTATTATTAAAAAACACGTGAAAGTATGGCTCTTTAAAAGAGCACATTCCATTCAAAGGGACTGGCATTACAATCATTTTTCACCTACAAGAAAGTGCAATAAAGTATGAATGAGATTTGTAGAACATGCAAGGTTTGGAGGCCTATCTCCACCCACCACCACTTCCCCTGCC